TGCAAAAAAAACAAAAAACATTTGCTTCATCATTTATTTTACTGGAAAAGAGGACAAAACTATTTAAATAAAACAAATCTTAGAAGCAAAACTGTATCAAATATTAAGACTTGTTCTCAAAAAGCATATCTTGAATTGTTTATTTTCTTACCCCAGTGGTAAATATGTTTTGCTTGCTTTAAGCATCAATAAATTCACAAACTGTATGCTTTAAATAAGAAAACATGAAAAACAACAGTTCTGCCAGCACAGACAACTCACCCAGAATATTCCACAGGCTTTTGAAATACTTTAAGCCAAAACTTATGAGCTTTAACACACACTCCATCTTATAAAAAGCCAAGAAGACTGCCTCCAGTGCTTCATAAACCCAAGCTAAGAAAGACAAATGAGAAACGGGAAATACCATATATTAGCACTGATGAGAACAACTCAACATTTGTGATATTGTGCGCAGGCACCATTACTTCTGGTGGAAAGTTGATGAATGCAGCAGAGATATTAAAGATGCACACAATCATTTTTATGTTGTGTTTCTGTTGTCGCCTTGGACTTAAAATGACACCTAATGGCATGAATGCTACATAAAAAGGTAATTGCCCAGACAGCACACGTACGTCTGCAAGATGTCAGTTAAAGATCGCTTCATCTGGAAAGCATCTGCTGTGTACAAACATCTGATAGACGTCTTTAAGATGTAAGTTTTACATACATTCTAAATCATCAACATCTTAAAGACATCTTCTGAATGTCTATTTGACATCTGATAGGAAACTTCCTATAGACGTATTGCAGATGAGCAAAACACACAAAAAAAACATTATGCAGATGTAAATGCAGACGTAAAATAGACGTCTCTGTGATGATGTACGTGTGCTATCAGGGTGCAACTTTTCATCTCAAAATTCAGACCTTTTTTCTCGCAATAGGTTTATGTCTCAACATTCTGAGAGAAAAAAAAACGTGCAAGCAATTACCTTTGTATTTTTGTTTTATTTTATGACATAAACAGGCTTCCATACATTGCAAAAAAATGCTCTATTCCCAGTCAGTCAGTCAATTCATAAAAAATAAAAACCATTAATTCACTGATTGCAATCAATGTGAGTGTACATTACTTTAAACACAAAACTGTTTGAATGAGTGCAACTTTGCTTGTTTTCTGGTCTGCTGGGCCACTTTACCTGACGCAAGTCTTTCAGATGTCATCACCACTTGTGTTGCAGTGTTCATCATGAGCACAAGCAGCATGACATGCTCATAGAGCCTAGTGAAGCGACAGAGGTCCTGCCGCAGATGGAGAACCCAGTCCAGCAACGCTTTCCACATCCTCTCTAAAGAGACACACAGAACAACTTACATTATGGATTCAAGCCAGTAAGACTGCTTTTCAGGACCATTAAGCATATTTACATCTGCAATCTACTACTTTCTACACTATCTTGTGTCTTTTGCCCGTTCAGTCTGCAGTGGAGTTTGTCATATCACTCACACATTCATGTGTGTACAAAAATACATTTGTAAAAAGTAATACAACACCAATTAAAGTTTTTTTTTTTTTTATTGCTCACACTAAAAGTTGTACTTGAGGCACACTCAGTGAAACCATTCACTCATATACCGCAAATCTTCGGACTGTAAAACTGCAAGCACATGATTTGCTTTACACTCTTGCAATTGTAAAACAAACTTTTTGCAAAACGCTAAACACAGTTCTCTACATTAGACGCATCATTCAAAACGAATAGCTCTTGAGTTTTAATTGAACTTTTAAGTGCCACACTTACTTACTGATTACCTTCAGCCAATGATCATGTGTGAAAACATTTATACATCATGTGTTTACTTAGAAATCAAAAATATGGAAGAAGAGGAAGAAATAAATTAATTTCACCCCCTTTCATTTCTTTAGTGTAAATATACCAAATCTGATCACTTAGAAATCTAAATTTATCCCATTTATGCATTTCTGTTTATATTACTTTGTAAATTTAACACCGATTCAACACCAATTAAATGGTGTTTAAATACAAATCTCTGTATGCAGCCCCAGAAAACAAGACAACACACAAGTAACAAAATGAGAGAGATAAAGAATGCATTTCTCTGCCTCATCCAAAAATATGAATTTGTGATGATTTTCATCAGCATCCTGCTCTATCACCCTCTAAAAAGACATTTACTGTACAGAAAAATTAATCACTGATGACAATGATATAGAACTCTTGGGGGGTGTTTTCCTCCCAACAACAGGCACCTTGAAATTGAACCTGAACATATTCAGTCCTCAATTATTTTAACTTTCATGATTTCCACAATTTCCATTACAACTATGCATCAAGAGTAATTCAATAATTACTTATCATTTTGAGCAATTGTATCAGTTGATAGTTCAATAATTGCAATGAAATTAATAGACATTCATCTCAGATGTAATGTGTGAGTTGCATTTTGAAATGATAATACTTTGATGTTAAAGGGAAGTTCACCCAAAAATGAAAATGATCCCATGATTTACTCACCCTCAGGGCATCCTAGGCGTATCTGACATTCCTCTTTCAGACGAACACAATCGCAGTTATATTTAAAATTGTCCTGGCTCTTCCAAGCTGTATAATGGCAGTGAATTGTGCTCTTGTTTTTGAAGCCTCTTTTGATGCCTTGTCGTAAACTCGCCTGCTTGAGCGACCAGAAGCTGGAGATTACAGTTTATACATTTTTAAAAATCGATATTTTTCATTCGTTACAATTCGTTATCATTAGTACAAATTATATTAGGTTTATTTGTACTATATCCAAGCATTTGGAAAAAAGTGTTAAAGGTGACATATTATGCCCCTTTTTACAATATGTAATATAAGTCTCTGGTGTCCCCAGAATGTGTCTGTGAAGTTTCAGCTCAAAATACTCCACAGATCATTTATTATATAATTTTGAAAATGCCTATTTTGAGTGGAAGCAGAAACACACTGTTTTTCGGGCCTGTGTCTTTAAATGCAAATGAGCTGCTGCTCCCCGCCCCCTTTTCCAGAATAGAGCTGCAGCTCATACCTGCTAAAAAAACAACTGTTTTGGTTCTGATTATCATGTTTATTGTGCTGAAATCATGAGTTTTAAACCATATGAGTTTAAACTTCAGATATACGGTTTTCTGAGCGCACACATCCGAAGCACACGGACAGAAAGCGGCTGTCGCTTGCGAAAACACAATAACGGCGCCGTGGGTGTAAACTTACAGATTATGGGTCGGTAATATTATAATGAGATCCCTTTGGGATCAAGGGAGCGTCACCAAGGGAGCGAAATCTGACGCGCTCGTTTTCTCAGACGCTTGCAGAAAAATGTTTCCCAAAACAAAGTGACTGGGTTAATCTTTTTCACGTTTCCTTGGTTGGTAGATGCACCGGGGACCTGATTATAGCACTTAAAACCTGGAAAAGTCAGATTTTCATGATATGTCACCTTTAAGAGTTTTGAAAAATGCATTTTGATCATCGGTTGTGAATTATGTGCTTACAGTTTTGAAAAATGACATGAAGATTATGATATTAATGCAAAAATTATTGTAAAAAAAACTGTAAACAAAGGAATACAATTAAATTCAAATTAAACAACGACAACAACAAATGACTGTATGCCAATGAGTACAAAAGAGTATTTGATGTGACTAAATGTGTTCTTACTGTAATTTTCCCTGTAGAATAGAGAAAATAGGGGAGGCAGAGGCAAAATTCTGACTGACAAATTAACAAAAGTTGGCTGTGGTCAAGAAATAATATTCACCTTACAGACACTGGGCAACACATCCTGGACAAATACGAAATTTTCAACAGTGTGGAAGCCATAGGTTTGCAGACTGTTGCATGCATACAGAAAAGGCACCATGTGTATACCGTGTGTCTTTACCGTAGACACCATTTGAAAGAAATGCAGACAGAGTTAAGCAATTTGACGATTGAGTATGTTCAGGTTTGTTTTACCCCAAAATTTCTGTCATCAGTAATGAACTTTACAAAACGTCTATTTAGAGAGTGATGGAGCTGTGGCCAAATCTACAACTTTGTACTACAATATTTAATGATTGCATGAACAACTACAAAGTGAAACTTTGGTTCCAACATTACTGCATGATAAATGAGTTATTTGAACCAAAGCAAGTGCAAGGTTTCTTTAAAGATATGAATGCACAATTAATTGTTTTTAAAAATGGCATCAAGACTCTGTAATTAGTTCTAAAGTGATTGTAAAAAACTGTGAAGAGTCATGATGCACCATTTCAGCAGCGTCAAGATACAGGTTTGGCACTTTTGATATTGAGCCACTGTATGTTCTTTCACCTGTGCGTTGCATTTCCGTAGCCCTTTTAGCTGTGATTGCTTTCAAATTAGGCTATTCTTGGATAGTTATAACATTTACAGTCTTAGCAGATTTCAATTCATCTTTAAAGAAAAATGGTAGATGGCAGCCTAGGTATATCCAATAATTTTTTACATGATGCCATTTTATTGAAAGTCCATGGGGTGGCCTGAAGGGCACACTAAAATCCTAGGGTGGCACGCTCAGACCCCTTCAAATAAAAAGCAGTCACTAAATGTTGTTGTACACTGTGACACTCAAACACAGTTGAAGTGTTATGAAGTGTTAAGGTCACCTGTGAAGTGACAAGTGACAATTAGAGAGGCTGATGTGAGACACACACCCGCTTATGAAAATGAGAATCTACAAAAAACTGTGAATTTTCTTATAACCTGAGGTCCAAACTGCAAAAAATGTTGTGAAATTTGATAAAGCTAATATCCAGAGTTGCAAACAAGGAAATCAAGGGGCAAATGCCTGCAATTATTTATGGCATATATACTTACTTACATAAAGTTACCAGAATTAATGGGCCATTTTCAAGCTGTTAAAACCGGAAGTCACTAAACTTGAAAGTGGGTCAAACCTCTTGTTCAACCACAAGCATCATGCAGGAAAAAAAGGTACTTAAGATTCTTTGTCATGAAAGAAACATTTATTGTACTAATACATTACTGCCAAACAGACGATTTGAAGCTCACTGGTATGTATCGTATATCTCTCAATATACAGTAATCTGAAATCATTTAAATTTTGTATTTTATATATGAATGTGTAGTTTTATAAAGTCTTTACCATTTATTTATTCACAATGAACAAATAATGAAAGAGAAGAAAAATTAACACTAAACTTTATTTGTTTACTTACTCTTTGCAGATAAAATCAAACATGGAATTGTTAGGTGAGTTTGTTTGGATGTTTATCAATGCGGGTTCGTTTATTTGACTACAGCCAAAGCAAGATATGACCCCTTGTGAAAAAGAAGATTTCTTTTAACAGAAATAACCTACTTTAAAAGAATAATTGCAAACTTAATGTAGTGGTTTTGGACATTTAATTGCATGTAATTTACAATGAAATGAAAATGTATTATAGTTGTCACGCTCCCAACGTTACAATTTTTATTAATATTATCTATTAATATTATCTAATAATATTATTTTATTATTATTAATCTACAAGTGCATTTTCAATACATTTATTTGCACTTCTTTTCACTTCACTTATGAAAACAAATTAAACCAGTGTATTGAATAAAAAATGAAAACTTTTAATAATTTCTTGTATTAAAATATGCATTAGTGTATTAAAGAGCTGTAAGTGTGAACATGAAAGTTGTAATCTGCAGATATGAAGTTTATAAACCTGATTGAATGTTGTGTAGCAAGGATGACACCCATGTTCATTAATAATACACAATAGATTTCAGTGGGTAATAACTTGTTTAACAAAACTGTTTGATACATACTCATGTCTGTTTATGCTCCACTAGAGGACACTGCAATGGTACCTTGCCCAGATCCATATCGCCCACTTCATCTGGAGCCCTTGACCTGGGTCAGATAAGACTGGATATGCTTATTATTAATTAAAGCAATAAGCAGCAATAAGCTGTGTTTTATGGTGAATTCAGAGCATTTATCTGGATATTGACATTAATTGTGCAATTATTGAAGCACTGATCAAAGTTAGCACTCTTTGTTGATGCTGGGATATTTTGTCACATTCTTCTCAGCAAAGATTTGTCGCTACTCCAGCGAAAACATTGTTTAGTGATAAACTTAGCATCTTTCAACAGATCTGCTTATCAGTGGATCATTAGTTCACCCAAAAATGAAAATTTGCTGTTAATTTACTGTCCACCAGACCATCCAAGATGTCGAATCATTCTTTTGAACTGGTTCTTTTTAGTGAACTATGAATCAGTTCACACCAAATCAATGAAACTCTTGTCGAGCAGCACAGATTTGAACTGTGCAATGTATTGTGTACTGTATATTTGATTTCTGTATTTTTTAAAATTACAAATGCAATGAAAATACAGGTATCGGTACTCAGTATCGACAAGTAGGCTACCAAAAATGAAAGTATCGGTATCTGACTCATTCTGGAAAAAAATGGTATTGGTCCATCCCTACTAAGAACATTATTTAACACATATTATTCAATATTTTAGTGTTGACACAATACTTTGTTTACTACAATTTAAGAATTAAATTAAAATTAAAGTTTTAAGTAAAAATATATATTTTTTAAAAACGACTGTACTTTTTGTATTTTAATAAATTAAATCATTTTGCTTGTAAATGTAAAAAAAATTACATTGCATTGTTCCCCAAAAGTTTTTTAATGTGCTCCTAAATTTTTTTACTTATGAGCACATGTGCTCCTTGGGGGAAAAAGGTAGGCATCAAGCCCTGTTATATGTATTTTTCTCTAACAAATGCAGTTATTTCCTGTTATTTTTATGTTTATTTTAGATTGATCAATTGTTTGTCTACAAAGAACCTCATCCGGATGAATGTTTTGACGAAGGTTTGTTCATCAGTATTTCATGATTTCATGAATGAGATATAGCCGGATCATCGGGGTCCACGCACAACACAGTGGGCAATTGATGTTGAAAAGACATCAAATTGACATAAAAAAACACACACACAGGTCAAATATGCAAATCAAACTGATGTCAAAAACTTGCCATGACATTGATTTGATGTAAATTGAGCGTCATTGGCCTACATATACATTAAACCAATTTCAGTGTGGGATTAACTTCCTATTTTCACCCAATTACCACCGGAAGAAATTGCCATCCAATTTAAAATTGATGCTACAGCATCGTCATCAATGACTAATATTTGATGTCAAATTGATATCAAGGTGCTTGATAGGGAAACACCTTGTGTAGGATACAGTTAGGTCACAACGGCCATGTCTCTTTTCAAACGTGATACGAGTAGGCCTATTTAAGTGTCTTTCTATGGAAGTGTTATTTTATGTACCATATTACAATAGACAAATAATATTGTCTATTGAAGTTTGGCATGTTTACTGGTCGGCATGAGTACACTTGAAGGCAGCAATATGTAGGCTACTGCAATAAAAAGAGGGAACTTTTCATTTTAACTGGACAGCAATAAATAAAGTCATGTCATGCAGCTTGACAGATGTTTATAATAGCCTATTATTTGGATATATTAAAATAAAGGTAACATTTAGTGATATTGAAGTGTTTTAGAGATCACATATTCTTTTGCAAACTGATTAAGTTTATTCATTCATATGAAATTATAATAATTTTTTTGGCATCTTCCTTAGTACAAGTAATTATTCTGAACCATTTACACAGATTTCAATTTATAAGCATTCATGTTTCATTCACATTGATATTGTTGATCCCTGAGAAATCGCTGAAGCCCTCGAAATATCTGCGTACACTATGTCAGCTATCTGATACCTTCTGTGAGTATTGTCTTTGTGAACCACAGACTTCAGTTGGAAATTTAGATGAAAAGTAAAGGAAGACAAAAAAATATATCTAAGAATATGAAGCACAGGTTTATTTATTTATTTATTTGTTTATTTATTATTGTTATTATTATTAGGGTTAGAGTTACCTCTGTAAACATTTACCACTGTAAAAATGATTTATTTGTAATTCACAGTGATGGAAACTGATAGAAAAAATATAGATATCTTATCCTGTGGCTCTCTCTAGTGGGCAACATTACAAAGTGTTGTAGTCCGTCAACCTTTTTGAGTAAGCAAAAAAAAATAAATTCGATCTCCTCTAAAACCACTTGACTGATTCTCACGAAATTTTGCATGTATCATCTATAGATACAAATGATAAAAATGTATCAAAATAATTTTAATTAGTCAAACCGTTTAGAAGATATAAGCCAATAAATTGTGTGGCTTTGGCTCCATGCACTTATTAAACTATCTTATAAACCTTTAGATGAATCAAAATTCTTTTGATAACTTTTTGTCAAAAAGGTCTCTAGATTATATATACAAAATTTGGCATTAATTGGATAAATGGTCTAGGAGGAGTTCAAAAAAGTAGGTTTATAAAACAGCTCAAAATGGTGGAATAATTTTATGCTCGACTCAGAGAATCAGAGGGAAAAAAGAATTTGGATTGTAACCTGTACTGTTGTGGAGCAAAAACATAAAAGTAATTATTATAGGTGTGTGTGTGCAGCTGAGTAATGGGGAAGATTTGGGACCATCCTGCTAAATTTGGCGTTTCTACGACTTATGGTTTTGGCTGTCTAGACACTTTTAGTGCAGAAAAAGACTAATAATAAATATCGCTGCAAGCAGGCACATCACATCTTCAGTGCTTGGCCCCTAATAGTAATAAGAAAATTAGTACAAATACAATAGAGTTCCGGTACCTTCGGTGCTTGGACCCCTAAATAAAGCGACATCAAACGAGCAACAATCTAATCTCCTTTCTTTTAATTTCTTACAGTCTGCTGTGGAATAAAGCCTGACAACAGATATAAGGTGAAGGATAACGTCGGGAACGTTCTTTTTAGTATTCTTGAGGACAGTGATTATTGTAGCAGGCATTTCTATCAAGGACGTTCCTTCATAATGAATGTTATTAATGAATCTAATAAAGAGGTCATCAGACTGGTGCACCCATTTGTTTGCAGCTGCTGCAGTCATGAGGTATGAACGTTATCCTTCTCTTGTTCAGCCCTTGAGTATGTTGTACTGTATATTATATGCTGTATGTATATTTTAGCTGGAGGTTCAGTCTCCACCCGGCTTTACTATCGGACATGTTCGACAAAACTGGCATGTTTGCCTGCCTAAATTCACAGTTGAGAATAAACGAGGTGAACCAGCCGTTAAGATTGCGGGACCATTTTTACCTCTTACCTGCTGCATGGATCAGAACTTTGAGGTGATGCACAAGTTTAAATTTTTCTTTTGAATTTTATTATTTTTAAATTGACCAAAGTTATTTTCTATTATAACATACACTGTAAAAAAAAATCCCATAAAATATACGGTAAAAAACCGGCAGCTGTGGTTGCCGGAATTTTACCGTAAAAAATACGGTAGCAACGTTTTCACTGCTAGTGTGCTTATCAAGCCATTTTCCTTGGTTCCTGACCCACATTGGTTGTAGGTTTAGGTTTAGGTGATTTCAGGTTGTGTTACACTTCAGGGGAAATTTGATGACCACAGTGAAGAAAAACACCTGTCTCGCGTGCGCATACACGCACACAGACACGAGCACACGCGCACGTGCACACACACACATGCGCACGCACACACACACACACACACACACACACACACACACACACACACACACACTGGTTTCCATTTTTTGTGGGGACCCTCCATAGGTGTAATGGTTTTTATACTGTGCAAACCATATTTTCTATCGCTCTACACCAACCCTACACCTAAACCTACCCCTTACAGGAAACTTTCTGCTATTTCAGATTTTCAATACACTCCATTCTGTGTGATTTATAAGCTTGTTTCCTCATGGGGACCTAAAAAATGTCCCCGCAAGCTCAAACACACACACACACACACACACACACACACACACACAACCACATTTCTTTGGCTTTAAATGTCAGAGCTAACATGGTCTTGTTTGCTTTCTTAAAGAATATAGTGATTAATAAAGAATAAAGCTTAAGCTGTAAATCCAGTTCTGCTTTCTGACATTTATCTTAGACCCCCATAGGGCCATATTTCAGAAAGTCCCCAGCTCAAATGTTTTATTTTGTCAAAAATTTTTTTTCTGAAGAAAGATTAACATGTGTAGTGATGAAAGCCAAAATATTAAATGTAATGGATGAATATTTTAATGGTTTTCTTCATAATTTATGTATTTCTTTCACCAGAAAAAAATATTAACAAAATCAAAAATGTGATCTGGGGACCTGTTGAGTTGGCACGAAATGACACTATAGGCCTGTTTTTATACTAAAATATTACAGTGAAAACATACTGTAGATGAGGACTACCTGTGCTTGAATACTTAATGTGTTGATGTGAGTTATAATTACCCGTCTTATACTGTGACCACAGCTGGTGTCTTTGAACGGGGCAGCGACAGACGGACCATTTGGCAAGATCTTCAAACCTTTCTCATGCAGTGTACTAAATACAGGTGCAGATTTTGTGCTGAGGTTTCCAAGCAACCTGGATGTCAAAATGAAAGCTACACTGTTGGGGGCCTGCATACTTATTGTAAATATTGTTTAAAAAGCTTTTTTTTTCAGTTTTGTAATTTAAGACTTTTTTATATTTATTATTATTAATACTCAATCCCTTTTCAGGACTTCATGTATTATGATAAGCCAAAACAACCGTTACTACGTCTACTAAAGTATTTATCTCCTGTGACTGTTTACACTCTGTTCACACTCAAGTAAACACACATGAAGAAGACAACAAGGTAAATTCATAATAATCACCTTCTTTATTAATAAAGAAAAAAACACAGGAGATTGCAGGAGAAATACAATAGAAACATAAACCACACTAAATACTAACAAGAACCGACAAACACAACTGAAATCTGAGGGTTATCCACCTTTTTCCTAACGAGTCTACTGCGTTTTAGATTATGGGAGGCTTTTCCGATTTGGGCAAGTTCTACTCAACTGAAACAAATAATTGTATATCATAAGGCTGCGCTATAAATAATCCTTATCCGTCAGTTTGACTGAATGAGCTGTACAGTTTCCTTCATGTTGTATTTTGAGACGTCAGGAGAATAATGGAACACTTAGTGTTTCATGATGACATGCTATAAAAAGAAAAACTCTTTTCAGTCCGCTGCATTCTTTGCCTCCTAATTATTTACTTTTTTTCCCCATGTATATTCATGTTTATCAGTATGAAAAAAAGAAAACATATACTGCGCATTTGTGATTTCATTTACAGTTTATGCCAGGAATAATTCACTGAATGCACTACGAATCAGGGGCCTTATTCACAAAACACTGAGTTCTCCTAAATAGCAGTAAAGGTTCTAAGCTATAAGAGTTTCCTCTTAAAACCTGCTCGCAAAGCTGCTGAGACCAACTTTAACTAAGGAATGGGGAGAAATCTTATGCTAAGAGAAATGGCGGGGTTGACCTCGTTGTTAACTAAGAACTTGTACTGCTATTTAGAAGAACTCTTAGTGCTAAGATAAATAGTTTTATGGATACGGCCCCAGTTGTAGCAATTTGTTAATGCTTTTACATGTTTAAATTTCTTTTGAATGTTCAATGGTTGAAGGGTGAGAAGAATAATGTCACCTCATTGAGTCCAGTTTTATTTATTATTGAGTTCATAGAGTGAACCTTTGGCTGATTGTTTACAGTTTAATGGAATTTACTCCAGCAAATCACGCAAAGTGCCACAGGGCATAGGGAAAAGGTGGATGCATACAGTACAAGGGGCAAACACAGGCAACTAAACGAAACACAGCTGATACTTAACGGAAACCAAGAATGTATTTTGGTATTTTTATTTGCTCAAAATGGATATGTGTGTATTTAAGGCCTTTAAAATTGTGTGGAAAGTTACCAAGGTGGCCATTTTTATCTTTGCGTGCAGGTAACAAATAATTTTCCATTTTGGATACGCCAACTTCAGAAAGAAGCCCGAAGGAAGACAAATGTCTACAGACTGCTTGCCAAATTATCCTCCAATAAAAATTTACCATCTCTTTTTCTGAGGCAATAAATCTTAAATTGTATTTGTTTTGTAAACTCCTTAAATTTGAAAGTGACAAATGACACATTATCACTTGTTTTTGTTTTTTTTCAGTTTGTGGCTCTCTCTTATTGAAAGGTGCCACTGAGGTTGCATGTGTTATCGGGAAGTGAAGCAAACACAGCAGTAACCACAAACACCAACTGCTTCTTAGTAGGTGCTGGTGATGTTAAAAAAAAAAAAAACTACCCCAACTGGCGCTTTGAGTTGCTCGTCATGGAAAATCCAGACAGAATGCTCCTATTTAAAAATGACACATTTTTCTCTGCTTTCTTGATGGATAAAGTTAATTGCACAGACATGTATATTTTCTGCTTTTTAAATGCATTGTCAGTTTTTCAGACCATCCACCAAAATAAAGATTTTCTTTTGCAAATTTAATTATGCAATAAACATCTGGAAATTCTGCATTTCATATCAGACATTTTGAGCATGATACTTCCAATATCTCATAAACCCACAGACATGTTAACAAATCTGTTTGTTGTCTGAATTGTTCCTCTGCCAGTGTACAGTACCACTGGTGTCTTGATACTTCAACACCCGATGTACACCCATAACACCCTATTTTTTTTCTTTCCATAACACCCGATGTGCTTGCTACATCGCTAGAAGAATGGCATCTACGCTAATATTAGTCTGTTTCTCTCTTATTCCGAGGTCACCGTAGCCACCAGATCCAGTCTGTATCCAGATCAGATGGTCACTGCAGTCACCCGGATCCAGTACATATTCAGACCAGATGGTGGATCAGCACCTAGAGAGGACCTCTACAGCCCTGAAAGACAGCGGAGACCAGGACAACTAGATGAGCCCCAGATACAGATCCCCTGTAATGACCTTGTCTCAGACGACCACCGGGACAAGACCACAGGAACCAGATGAGTCTTCTGCACAATGTGACTTTGCTGCAGCCTGGAATTGAACTGCTGGTTTCGTCTGGCCAGAGGAGAACTGGCCCCCGACTGAGCCTGGTTTCTCCCAAGGTTTTTTCTCCATTCTGTCACCGATGGAGTTTTGGTTCCTTGCTGCTGTCGCCTCTGGCTTGCTTAGTTGGGGACACTTAATTTCGAGCGATATCGTCGACTTGATTGCACATGTACTATTTAAACTGAACTGAGCTGGATGGTGACATCACTGAATTCAAGGATGAACTGCCTTTAACTGAAAAATGAGTGTTTACTATTGTCACTTTGCATTATTGACACACTATTTTCCTAATTAATGCTGTACAGTTGCTTTGACACAATCTGTATTGTTAAAAGCGCTATATAAATAAAGGTGACTTGACTTCACTTCACAATATTTCAGGCATTGGAGTTTGCAAAGTCATGGCTTTTTTATGTCCAGAGGTGCAATTCCAATTAACCCAACAATGAAAACAGAACCCTGACCGACAACAGTATGATGATGAGTATATGAATTATAATTTTCATGCCAGACAATTATCCTTAAAATGACTGAACCTTCAATGTGCTTAAGTGCTGTCATCATCTAAGTGAACATACAGATGGCAAAACCTTTGGCATTTTACAAAGGTAGTTGTTAGATGGATATCTTGGACCATTTTGTTGATTTTTTCTGCTTGGGGTTTAAAATGTGAGACACCATTGTTCTGCTCAGGGGCCAGTTGCGTAAACTTAGCCTCTAGTTAAGACAGTGTCTTAAGAACTAGTCTGACCAACTAGAAGTTAGCTATCAGTCTAACTCTTATTTTTGGGATTTAACTTAGACTAATCTGTATTTTTATGTAACCGAATTAAAAAAATTATGACCATTCTTTAAGAAAAAAATTTGATTATGCTAACGGTTGCAGGTGTACCTGTAGCTCTTGCATGACTATTTAGTCTAAAGTGCCAAAGTAATACATGAACGCTAGACATAATCAATAAATGTAAAACTTATTTGAGTTTTTAACATTAGCATATATTGTTTTGTTTGTTTTACTTTGTAGTGTTGTTTTTGCCACAAAAAAAAAAAAAAAGCCTTCTGTGTGTACCGTCAGATGAAATCAGTCGCTCATGCTTCTATACTTAATAACTGTGCTCATTTATGTGACAGAGTTTGAAATAGGACAGCTAAATGTAAACAAACAGCTGATGTGACCCAGAGTCTTTGAATACTAGAGCCTGGTCACATGACGTCACCATCATTAAGCTTTTGACAACTTTTTCAGTCTTTCTATAAAAAAATAAAAATTTAAAAAAAAACATTATCCCTAAAAGTTTGAGTTAGAATAGTTTGCAAGAGCTCGATTAAATACAACAAGGCTTTGAAAGTGACTAGTGATTAGATGAGCTTGTTCAGTGTCGCTTTTAATGTCCCCGAACAACCAGTCCCATTTAGCAAGTTGTTGTTAGTAACTGCCTTTTTCAAGACAAGTAAAATATATATTTTTTTTAAATCACAAGGGTTTTACTGATGCATTTTCTGAAAGAAACAGGAACTTATACCGCCCAGTCAGTAGGTGGCGGTAAAGCAGATACCGGTTTTGCCAGCGGCCGACAAACAACAGAAGAAGAACACTTCCGTTCGTGAAGGTGACAGTTATGGCGGCGGCAGCTGTGGTTCGTGGAATCGGCTCAAATCTGTCAAAACATCTGCGTGAAGTCCGCCTACATTTATGCCAGATATCAGCTGCCAGCCAGGGAAGCAGGTGCAGTACTGACGCTTTTTACGGATGGATGTTTTGTAGGGAGAGTAACTGTCCTCTGTAGAGGCTGCTTGAATCACTTGCAGTAATGTTTATGTACGTTATAAATACTGGCTGACAACCTGCATGACTGAAAACTGCACGAGAAACCGACTAGCTTTTAATTCAGAGTACAGGGTTCGTACAGATATTTAAAAGTGAACTTCAAGAGGCTGTGGGGAGGCTGTTTATAATTTTAATAATTATACATTAAAATCATTATTTAATTTTGGCCTCACGTTGTCCTGCCTAATGGAAGAACTCTTCCGATCATTAAATAAACAACACGGACAAATTGACCGATTGAAAGATCAATCTTCAGTGAATAATCAGATGTTGTGTAAATATACAACATCTGATTATTCCCTGAACATTGATCTTTCAATCTTATTTTGTTATATATATATATATATATATATTGCTGTATATATACATACTATATAAGTAATAAATGTAGCTAAGTATTAAGTATATATACTAAGTATAAATAACAAGTATAGTAATATATATATATATATATATATATATGCATGCATACATACACACACACATACATATCGGTCAAAAGTTTAAAATAATTATGCTTTTTTTTTTTTTTTTTTTTTAATAAGTCTCTTATGCTTACCAAGACTGCATTTATTTGGTCAAACATACAGTAAAAACATTTAATTTAGTGAAATATTATTACAGTTTAAAATATGTTTGAATATATTTTTTTAAATGTAATTAATTCCCGTGATGCAAAGCTGAATTTTCAGCATCATTACTCCAGTGTCACATGATCCTTCAGAAATAATTTTAATATGCTGATTTGGTGTTTGAATTTTATTGGTGCTCAATTATTATTAATGGTCCTTATTATTAAAAACAGTTTTACTTTATTTATTTTCGTTGGAAACGGTGATACATTTTTTTAGGATTCTTTGATGAATGGAAAGATTAATGAATAGCATTTATTTGATATAGAAATATTTTGTAACATTTTAAATGTCTTTACTGTCTCTATTGATCAGTTTAATGTGTCCTTGCTGACTAAAAGTATTAATTTCTTTTATTTTAAAAAAATGACTTATAAATGGTAATGTATCACAGTTTCCACAAAAATATTAAGCAGTAAAACGGTTTTAAAAATTGAGTAACACAATAATAAAAAGAAATTGAGCACCAAATCAGCATATTCAATTAAATTCAATTCAAGTTTATTTGTATAACGCTTTTCACGATACAAATAGATTGCAAAGCAACTTTACAGCATATTAGAAATGATTAAAATTGATAAATGGATTGTGTGGCCTGACGACCATTGTTGTTTTTATTTTTTGGTTCAGCATGGAATGGTTCAGTCATATTCTTATGTCTTTGTAATTATTATTTGTTGTTCTTATTTTAGAGATTTTATTGAGCAGCATTATGTGACATTAAAGGAGGCAAACCCGGAGTTGCCCATCCTGATCCGAGAGTGCTCTGGAGTTCAGCCCACGCTCTGGGCACGATATGGTAGGAAAATACTCCTGAAAACTAAAGCATATTCATACAAATGACCACATATGCATAATGATGCATCTCTCTGCCTCAGGTTTTGGCAAAGAACGCAGTGTTTCACTGGACAACATGAACGTCGATCAAGTGGCTAAAGCACTTGAATCAGTAGTAAATGCAAAGCCCTAAGTAAGCATCCTGATGTAAAATAATGTACATGTTATTTGTGTCCCAAATTGAAAATAAATGTGTGTTCTAAAGATCTTGTTTTTTTTTTGTGCTTCTGTGAAGGTAAGTGTGTAGATTGCCCATATATCCAATATAGAGATTTCCAGTAGTCAGAAATGAGAATTTATTGTTCATTGCTTATGCTAGCCTGGCATCAGGCATATACAACAGCACCACCAAATGCATATTTAGGGTCCCAGACATAACATGGGTGTTAACAATATTTTAGAAGCAAACCAGCAAACATTCGTAACCTGTACTCTAAAAGGTTTAATGTGACTCTGTTCCCAAATACATTGTAAAAAAAATATATATATATTTCCACCAAGCATTTACATCATAAATTATCATTAATATGTTTCATTCTGAAACAGTCTTAATGTAGTGTGGTATATTTTTGTTTCATTTACGTATTTACTGCAGCTGTATTTACTTTTCATTTTTCAGAATCAGAGCAATTTGTTTTTCAGCTAATTAATGATAAAAACATTGACAGCCAATCAGAATCCAGCCTGCTTTGAAGAGCTCAAGCATTTAAAGCGGCAGACAACTAAACTGCATTGTACACTTAGAATAAAAGGAATGTTAGCATGCATTGGCGTGGACACTAATATTGTAATATTTATCTTTATAGAGACCATTCTTGGTGTAAACAGAAGCTTTCTGTGTGTAGGATAGTCTATGATGAAGTGACTATTTAAAGATGGGGCATTATACAACTATAGTATTTCCAGAATTTTCCTGAAATTTCCCATAAGATTATTACACTCCTTGAGGTGACATGAAAATCCCGTCATGTTATATACTGTCATTTGTACTTGCATTCTGTTTTCAATGAGCAGTGTTTGTGAGATTTAACAGCATTCGGACATAATACTTAAATGAGAGTAGAAAGTAAACAACTTGCATTCAAGATCAATCCAATCTGTTTTACTGTCTTCCCAGAATTTTTTATTTTTTTGGTGCTATTTTAGATACTGCAACACACACGTGTGTGTGTGTGTGTGTATTCAAGATCAATCCAATCTGTTTTACTGTCTTCCCAGTTTTTAATTTAAATGTTTTTTTTGGTGCTATTTTAGATACTGCAACATATGTGTGTGTGTGTGTATGTATGTATGTATATATATATATATATATATATATATATATATATATATCTGCAAGGAGGAATGGCAGAGGATCCCCAATTCCAGGTGTGAAAAACTTGTTGCATC